GCTTGAGCTTATGTTTTCTTTGGACAGTCTCTGTAAGCTTTGTGTGCTTTGGGAAGAGAACAGAGCAAACCATTTTCCTTCCTTCTCTCTTTTCATTGGGTGTAAAATTGACCACCCATCAAACAGTACAGTAGAAGAACTGAGGGGCCCCTAGCATGACATATTTAAGACTGGATCGCAGGTTAAAGGCCCCTTTCATTCTGGCACTAAGGTGACATGACTGGTGGAACTTGGCATCTCTAACTCTGTATCCTTCTCCTCTCTTTACATCTTACCTTCTAGCTGGCCATTTCCCAGCCCAGTTTTGGTGGCCCCATACTCACTTGCCTCCCCACCAGCCTCCAGAATTATTTCTGGAGGACTGTGTCTCCTGAGAGTCCAGTTACAGCTGGTTTCCAGGAGCTCATCTTCTGCAGATTGACCGAGAGACTCACCAGCCTCACAGCTGTGGGGGCCTCTATTTATGATCACCAGGTGCAGGTAGGGGGCAAGGCTGAGAAGAAGGGGTGCCTACTGGCTCCTCTAGGTTTCCAGCCATCAGCCTCCCCCGTCCAGTGGTGGACTGCTGTGCCCTAGTTAACTGCCTCGGAACGTCAGATCTTGTGATCGTTTTTCACCTGGAATACTTTTTCCACTGGCTTTTCTTCCCCCTCTGCCTACTTTTTTTTTTTTTAAAGGAAGAACTTGCTTTTGCATCTCATTGAAATAAGAGGTAGCTTTGACAATAAAAATGTTTCTCTTCACAAAGCTGTGAGAGTCTATTCATCGTGGGATTAGTTAATTCTCCTGACCTTTTAACAAGACGGCTCTTTTGCACACTTAGATGAGATAATTGATTCTAACAGGGAACTAAGCCCTGCTCATTTAACTGCATATATCTGAGTTGTCCGCAGTTCAGGCAATTTCTCCATTACCTTTGGAGTTGCCAATAAATAGATTGACACAGTAAGAAGGTAAGCAGAAATGTGAGCTAATTCAGCCTTGGAAGTAGCAGCACAGTCACTTCTAACAGGCAGGTGAGTTTTATTATTATTGAAAACTGCAGAGGGACAGCAAGGAGCAATCTGAAGCACTTCCCTGAGTGTGTGGTACCTAAAAGGTGCTCCATGAATGTGAGCTACTGTTTTATCAGTCTCATCAACAGTATGAATATAATGCTTATAAAATACAGCAATCACACATGGGTACAGTTTATAATACGCTTTGCCATATATTATCACACAAAGTGAAATTGTTAGTCATTCAGTCGTGTCTGATTCTTTTTGACCCCGTGAACTATAGCCCGCCAGGCTCCTCCATCCTTGGGATTTTCCAGGCAAAAATACTGGTGTGGGTTGCCATTTCCTTTTCTCAGAGATCTTCCCGACCCAGGGACCAAACCCGGATCTCCTGCATTGCAGGCAGATTCTTTACCTTCTGAGCCACCGGGGAGCCCATATTACCACATAGAAAGAAGAAAGTGAAAGTGAACTCGTTTCCGACTCTTTGCGACCACATGGACTGTAGCCTACCAGGCTCCTTCATCCGTGGGATTTTCCAGGCAAGAGTACTGGAGTGGATTGCCATTTCCTTCTCCAGTACATCTTCTCAACTCAGGGATCGAACACGGGACTCCCACATTGCAGGCAGACGCTTTACCATCTGAGCCACCAGGGAAGCCCTATATTACCACATATGATGTAATAATTCTTTGAAATATTTTTATCCTCACTTCTCAGATGAGAATACGGTAGCTAGGAAGTGGCAGTTAGGATTCAAAGGCAGTTTTCTTGCCCTTGGTCCAGCACACTTTCCCCTGCATCATAGTAACCAAAGAGAGAGCAGAGGGTCAGATGGCATCTCTGGTACCAGGGTACACGGTCCTGGTTAAGCCAAACTGTGTGTGTCCTCGGCAGGTTTTGTTTGTACCAAGAGTCGGAAGGTTGTGCGGTGCTCCACTCTTCTCTACAGGTTTTTGCATCTTGAAGACAGTCACACAACCACTCAAGACTACCATCAGTGACCATTCCACAAACTGGGGCTAAATAGCACAACTTTCTGTCTACTTCACAGGATCCTCTGTGGCTGCCTTAAAAAGACAAGTAAAGGCTTAGAGTCAGCTTTCTGTGTAAAGGAGGGTGTCTTTATAATGCCCACCTACCTTGTTAGTTAAGCTAGTGAGAGGCAGAATGGCAGAGTGGGGAGACCCTGACTCTTCTAGCCAGAGAGGGAGATGGTTTGTGATTTCAGGATTCAAAGAGTTTGGGATTCTAGGCTAGACTCTGCCACTTGTTAGCCATTTAACCTCCCATGTAAATTGGAGTCTGTGTGTCTTAGTGTCTTTTCATTGGCAAAAATGGGATTATCACCTTCTAGGCCTGTTGTGAGAATTAAAGGAAATACTGTATTCACTGCTCTTAGCACATTGCCTGGCACATGGAAAACACTCAAGAAATCATAGTTTCATAATTATCGTAATTTTAATTAACCTTCTGAGTGAATTAAGTATGCACATCTGTAAATTGGGTCTGGTAGAGTTGGGTGGGGATTAGAGGTAATGTATGCAAATTACCCAGGACACTGGGTAATTACAATTACAGTGGGCCTTCATATCTCTTGTCGACTGATCCCTTGCTGTCTTCCTCTGGCCCTCTTAGCGGGTCAGCCACCGCCGCCTCTGGGCCTTCTTCTAGTCCTTCTGAATCTACTTTGTTACTTATCTGTCTCCTCCGCCTCTGAACTCTTGGAAGCAGGGACTGTCTCATTTGGTTCTGGCTCTCAGTGTCAGCCTCTGGTCCTGGCTTTTAGAAAATGTGCGTGACACATTTTAGAGAAGTAACACATCAGAAAAGGAGTGACACTGTGCACAAGATGCTGTGGAGTCAGGGGCCGGAGCACTTAACTCTGTATGTAGGGAATCGGAGGAGGCCTCCCAGAAGGGGTACGTATGGACCATTAATAAGGCTCACGTTTTAGATCCTGAATGGTATTTAAGCAGACGTTTTGTACTGCCTCACAAACCTTTTTGGAAACATGCTGCCTGCCTAGAGCATTGCATATCTCAAGGCACAGTGTCTGTTCTTTGGTGTCTACTGATCTCTTCTAGATTGCTGCAGAAGACTATTTAGCAGTTGCTACACTGCAAAAATATTTTTAAAACAGAAATGCATGCATGTGAATCAAAATCACAGAATTGCCCAAAATGACAAAAATGCAGAAAATCAAAGTGTACAACAGATATGCAATGAAATGTAAAATGTAAATCTGTCCCCTTTCCCAGGCCCTTAACATCTCTTCCTTTAGAGTGCACCCACTGTTACCGGTGTCTTTCATACCCTTCCAGACTCTGTATACAGAATCTTTTTCTTTTTTAACCCAAAGGTAGTATATTAAAGGCCTTCGGGCTGCAGCATCTGTGAAGTACAGGCTTAGTTGCTCTGAGACATGTGGAATCTTCCCAGACCACGATGAAACCCATGTCCCCTGCATTGGCAGATAGACTCACATCCACTGTACCACCAGGAAGTCCCTCCATTTGTATTTTTGTCCTTATCATGTGCTAAATCACTTCAGTTGTGTCTGGCTCTGTGCATCCCTATGGCCTGTAGCCTGCCAGGCTCCTCTGTCCATGAGATTCTCCAGACAGGAATCCTGGAGGTGCATTATTGTTCTGCATGTTACCATTTTCCTTCCTGAAAAATGTATAAAAAAGTTTTCTCATTCTTTTTTATGGTTGCACAGTATGTTGTATGGGCTTCCCCAGTGTCTCAGCAGGTAAAGAATCCTCCCGCAATGCAGCAGACACAGGAGATGCGGGTTCGATCCCTGGGTGGGAAGATCCCCTGGAGGAGGAAATGGCAACCAGTCCAGTATTCTTGCCTGGGAAGTCCCACGGACAGAGGAGTCTGATGAGCTGTAGTCCATGGGGTAGCAAAGAGTCAGACACAACTCAGCGACCAAGCACACACACAGTATATTGGATAAATATACTTATCTGGCTCCTCATTTGTGGACTGGTTTCCAATGTTTATGGCTTCACTGGTGGCTCAGCTGGTAAAGAATCCGCCTGTAATGCAGGAGACCTGGGCTCGATCCCTGGGTCAGAAAGATCCCCGGGAGAAGGGAACGGCTACCCACTCCACTGTTCTGGCCTGGAGAATTCCATGGACTGCAAAGTCCATGGGGATCGCAAGGAGTCGGACATGACTGAGCGACTTTCAGTTTCCTATGTTTCACTATTACAAGCAATGCTGTAGTGAATAACCTTGTATGCACCCCATTTTGTGTGCATGTGAGCATATCTGGGGGAGAATTGGAATCTCTGGGCTCCAGAGTAAAGGGTATGGGCATTTTATTTTGTAGCTTTTGTCAGATTGCCCTCTCTGTAAGGTCTGTACCAGCTTATGCGCACACGAAACCAGCTGAGTATCAGAGTGCTTATTTCCTGTTCTCTTCCAATACTCTGTATTTTCAGCCTTCTAAAAATCTTTGCCAAACCATATGTGAAAAACAGAATTTCAAAGTTTAACTTCTATTTCTTCTACCCTCAGTAACGTGTAGAGAGTCTTTTCATACAACCGAGAGCCAGGTGCTTTTCTTATTCTGTAAATTGTCCATCTCCTATGCCTATTCTCCTTCTGGGTGGCTGGACTTTGCTTATTATTTGTAACAGTTATTTTTGTATTAAGGAAATTAAGCCTTGGTGATACAAGTTGCCGTTTCCCCCCATAGACTGTTATTTTTAATCTTTTGAAGCAAAAGGCCTAGGCCTCCTGAAAGTCCCCCCATCCTGCCCCTCTCCCTGCGCCCCTAGACTGTGAGCCCTTGAGGGCAGGGTCCGTGCCCGGGTCAGCCCTGTGGCCCAGTCCCCCTGCATAGCGCCTGGAGCTCTCTGCAGGGGCTCCGTGTTGAACTGAACTGAGTTCCCGTGCTCCCCACCCCCGCCCGCCCTCCCCTAAGGCTTGGGAGTCCCGTTTCCGCCTCCAGCAGAAAAAGATGACTTTTCTCATTGCTCACCACAGCCATGCACCTGTTTGGCCTAAACTGGCACCTGCAGCCGATGGAGGGGCAGATGTATGAGATCACGGAGGACACAGCCAGCAGTTGGCCTGTGCCGACGGACGTCTCCCTGTATCCCTCGGGGGGCACTGGTTTAGAGAGCCCTGACAGGAAAGGCAAAGGAGCCACGGAAGGTAGGGTTGCTATGTTGTTCGTGTCGTGAGTCCTCTGTGTCTGCCTTTGAGCCGAGGAGACCGCCATCCTGCGCGCCACGTGCCTGACTCACAGCTCCATGCCCCGCTGCTTCCTCCATCCCCCCGCACGCCACGCCGCTGCCGGGCCACCCGTGTCTTCACCGCAGTTGCTTGTCACTGTGAGCTCATCGCGGGGCTGGGGCAGGGCTCATGGTGCTCCGCGGCATCCCATCCCATACCTCGAGGGCAGCATCGTGGGTTTTCACACTGCTGGGCGGCCGTCGTTGATGGTGTGGGATCATGATACGCCTTCCTTCCGGGGCAGCCTCGTGGCATGAATGGGCGTCTCTTGGAGTGGGGTGTGGCAAGGTGGGTAGAGGGTGTGGTGTCCAGGAAATACCCTTGGACCTGTGGTTTAAGGGAAACACCAGTCCCACTGTTCTAGCATTTTCCTACCGTGTGGCCTTGAGCAAGTCACTTAATTTTCCTGAGCTCATTTCCTCATCTGCAGTTGCAGTAATCGTCAGTGTTTGCACAGTGTGTTTGTTTAAAGCTTTTTGTGAAGCGCATTTCATGTTTAATCCTTACAGAGATCCTGTGAAGTAAGTATAATTGTTTATAGCCATTTTTGATGCAAAAACTAAGGATCACATAGATTAAGTGACTTGGCCAGAGTCACACCGCCGGTAAATATTGGAATTTGGGACATGAGCCCAGGTCTCTGTGGCCACAGGGCTCTTGCTGTCTCCATAAGTTGCCCTACCTGACTCACCTCGTGGTTATAAGACCCTGAAGGAGATGTGATTAAGAAAACTCATTGTACAATGAGACTCAGATGTTTCTGTATTAATGATTAAAGTGGTGGTGACATTTGGGGTTTGGCATTCTTGAATGCAACGTCCACAGACCCATTTTCTGAATTTCTTAGGGGTCTTTCTAACACGCCATCAACATATTGATAAATTCTCTCACTATCAGCCAGGAGTGGAAGACCCACAAGAACTGGTACCAGCAAGGAAGTCTGAGCTCATGGGCCAGGCTTGTTGTCATTCTAGGAAGTGTGACCATCCGTTCTCATGTGACCCACTTTTTTTTTTTTCTGGTGTTACCCCAGTCAGCAAAGTGGTCACAGCTGCCCTCAGTCTTCACTGCCTTTCCTCTTATCTCAGTTAACTTTGGGTCGTGGCTTCTGAGCATCCCTGTCCTTTTAAGAGTTTGTCTTCTAGTAATCAGTTTGGTTAACAAGGTAGCATATGGCTAGTCAGAGTAGTTATTCATGACCTCTGAATGGTCTTGAAATCCAAAATCAACTCTTGACCAATGACCATCTTTAAGGAAACTGAGGGCATTTCCACAGAGCCAAATCAGAACCTCTGCCTGCTATTTTGATGGGCAAAGCCAGTCTTCTTCTTTATAAGATTTTAAGACTTAAGACATTGAATAAGTTACACTTGCTTTGCACCATAATAGGATATGGAGGGAGCATGGATGGGGTCATGGGAAGAACTCAGGGTTAGGAGTCTAGAACCCTGAGTTCAAGTTCAGCTGCTGCCACTCGTGATGCCCTTAAGCAAATCCCTTGAAAGACTTTCTCGGCTTCATATTCCTCCTCATTAAAAGGAGGTGATTGATCTATATTATCTTTAAGGTCCACTCTAATTCACAAGCTCTACTTGTAAAATTAGTAATAGAATCATCACATGATTAACCAGATTCTTCTTCAGAATTTTTTTCAGGTTGGCCCTGTCCATGGTCCTGCCTGTTCCCTTGTTGCAGCTTAGAGTGTCAGATGCCATAAGTGAATACCATAAACGACAACTGTCTTTAGATTAGCACCAACAAATGCAGATTTAAGATATGTGTAACCCTCAAAGATCTCATTTAGAAAAATGTGGATTTTCTGTATGATCTCTATCAAACTTTCAGGACCTGGGTCTAATCTAAAATCTCCCACTCTAATGAAATTAGTTTGTGGATTGTTTAGATTCTGCTTTGTTTTTCCTAAGGAGCAGGAGGTGCAGATAAGAGGTAAAATTGCACCAGTTTATTGGTTTACTCTCATTGGAATATTTTTGCTTAAAGGGATTATCTGTCATTACTAATGCAATTGGAAATCCTGTTTATAAAACCCCAAAATGCAGTGTGATGCTGTAAAGTGGTCAGCATCAAAAGCAATTACTGTGACAAAAAAATACATCCGTCTGGAGAAACAGAGGACAAAGCTTCCCAGAGTTTATGTAAGACTATCACAGCGTTCTTAATTTCTTTTGCCTTGGTCAAAGCAGTGTCTACTCAGTTTATGTTTTTAACTGTGATGTTAACAATCTAGTTCCTAAGACATATCTCAAGTGGGAAAGCCTCTAACCCTGACGTGAGCACACATTTCCTGTCCCTTCTGAGGGTATCAGAGAAGAGAGTTGGTTCCAGAATTAAGATTAGAGCCCCATCGTGCAGTGATAGGGGAAGCAATGTGGTAGAAAGAGGACAAATGGGCCGTGGAGCTGGACAGTCCAGGGTTTGCGTCCTGGTCTGGCCACTTATTGGCTCTGTCACTCCATTTCCTTTGGCCTTAGTTTCCTCATCTGTGGAACAAGGATGGCCCATACCTATCTTTCCAAAGACTGGTTATGAGGAGGTATTCAGCACATATGAGTTCCTTTTCTTCTTATTCATTTAAATCCCAAGCCATTCCATGTCTGTCATTAGAAATCTCAGAATTCCAGACTAATTAATATTTTCTCCTCAAAGATTCTACAGAGTTTGGGGCATTCTTGAATATTCTTAAAGGGTGTATATTTTTTAATTATACAAATGAAGTATAGGATGGACCCAATATTTTAAAGGCTCATCATGTCTCTGAGAATAACATCAAACTGCAATGTATCCTGTATTTTCAAAGTGGCTATAACCATTTCAGAGCTGTCATGGGATGGAAACCAAATACAGCAGCTTTCCGAAGTAAAACCACAAGAACTTATGTTATGCATTAATGGAGAAAGGGGGAAAAGCATTGAATAAACAAGCATTTCTGATGGTTTAATTGGTGGGCTAGGTTAGCATTTTCTTCTTTCTGCAATGAAATCAAAATTGCCCATCAGTTTGAACCATGCAAATTGCTGCATACAGGCTCAGCTGGGCTCTCAGCTTATTTTGATAACCAAATAAATTTCAAACAGTTGCTAAGGAAACTAAAGAATTCTTTGTGCGAGTTATTGCATTGAAAAGAACCAAAAAAGGTAGAGGGAGGGGGAGAATGTTGGTTGATTAGGAATTTAGACCCTATATGGATAAATCTCAGTTCAAGAAAATAAAGACTGTGAATTTGGGAAGTGCATGGGATCTCAGTTCTTCCAGCCCTCCCTTATTTTTAACTGAGCTAGCCAATCATTTCAGCAATTTGTTGAGAAAATTCTTTTAGACACAATTGTGTATTGCCAGAGCATTGCTCTGAGAAGCCTGAATCTGTATGTCTTTGTAAAGAAAAGGACTGTTACCAGTAGAATCTGCCTTGTGAAGCCTAATCATGCTGTTGGGGTCCCTAATTCTGAGTTAAGCTCTCTGTACTTTGTTAAGCCTCTGGGGCACTCACTGATTGTATAGTGTCCTTAGGAATGTTTGAAATACTTTTTCCCTTTAACTTTGGGGTCTGTGTGTGGATCCTGGTTCATAAAAACTGTCAATGTTTTGCATCCCAGGATGGCTGGAAGTTCTCTAGTGGGCCTTGGTATCTAGCATGCTAGGACTGTGAATTAAATCAGATCTTTACTCTTAATGGGGGTTAATGTACTCTGCTACCATTGAAAAGACCTTTGAAGATTTTTAATTAACAATTTATCAACTTGATGTTTTGAGAAGCCATATTCTAATAAATAAAGAGGCACCCCAAATGGCTTCATCTCTGAATGGTTTTTTTTTTTTTCCTTGCATTCTGAGCCTCAGTATATACATTTTAGTAATGTGAGGATTAAGTGTACCAATGTATGTAAAAATGCCCGACACATAGTTGGAATTTATTGAATTAGTCCTGCTACATCTACCTTTATTGCTATTGCTACTGCTGATATTTGTCATTCTTATTGTGTTCCAGAACGTAGGTATGGATAAAAAGAGTTATAGACACAGGACTTTTCACCTCCACCTGCCTCTACCCTCTGCTTGCTCTCCCTACGCCACCACTGGTGGGTGTTGCCATGTTGTAGAATATTTTCTATCTTGGCGCTCAGAATTAAGAGTGAAGGCACTTAGGTTATAAGATCTGGAGAGAGAAAGACAGTAAGGATTTTTAAGAGACGGGAAAGGGTGAAGGTGGCTTCACTCTGAACAGCCCTTAGCCCAGCCAGCGTCATGCCTCTTTCCCACCAGCCGCAGGTACTCCGCAGGCTCCAGGTCCCTCCTCCCAGAAACTTTCATCTCCTCCCTAGGGTGAGTCAATGTGGGGGACACTGGGGACCGGTAGGAAAGATGATACAGGTTAAATTCCAAGATGGGTACAGTCCTTCCCCTCTCAAACTTTTCCTTTAGACGACGCCATGGCCCCTTCCCTAAGGATCTGGACAGGGTGACTTCTGGAACAAGACTTTTGAACCTAAGCTCCATCATAGAAACTGCATAAAAATAAGCTTAAGACTCCTAATTCCTAATTCTTTCAGCCAAGAAAGTCAGGGTCCTGGTGGAGTGCTGTGCCTTAGACCAGAATTTACTGTTTTTATATCATGGTATACACACCAAATATAAATTTTATAATTTTTTTCCCCCATTTTGGTCAGCTTTGGTGAAATAGTTGAGTGCTAGAAAAGACTATTCCCTTTTTGCCACTCCTCTGGGGTAAGAGCCAATTTATGTATGCTTCTTGGGCCTGCAGACCTCTGGAGAGTCTCTGGACTTGACCTCTGCCCTGTGAAACTAAAAGCTTGGCTAATTCAATAGCTGTCTCTGAAAAACATGCTCATTGGAGGGGAAATGAACAGTACAGGGCTCTCCAACAGTATGCCAAAAAGTGGGAGAAGTTTTCATTATTTATTCTCAGACATAGGAATATTTGAATGCAGACAATTCTCAAATCCCATCAGCTCTGACTCCCACCCACTCACAAAGGAAATGAGGTCTTGGAATTAGGAGTCTCCAGCTAATTTTTATGCAGTTTCTAGGAGTAAAAAGCTCAGAACTCATCCTGCTTTTGTGTCATACCTCCCTCTTAGTTCTGCTTCCCTAACAGAATTATAGGCTGAAGGGTAAACTGTTTTTCTACCTGGACCATAAAAAGATTGTGGAATTGGGAACCCCAAAGTCAGATAAGGAAGAATGTGAAAATGATTCTCTTCCATCTTAATGCTTTGTGAATTTGGCTTCTGTCTTCGAACTTTGAACCACAGTGTCGTGGTTTGCATGTGTCTGCATTTTCAAGGTAAAAGTCTGGGGCACATTCCTTCCATAAAGGAATTAAATGCAAGCTCTTTCCCATGCTAATGACAGAATACTAGTGGTACTTTTATTGAGAGCGTGCATTTTAACTTTTCTGTTGGCATATTTTTAATTAAAATAACATTTAACGATTTGAAGCTTAAAACCTGATGTTTCTGCCTAGGAGTTTATAAGGGAATGATAACATATGGAGAAGTTTAACATATAAATTGAATTTTATTATTTAAAACAGTAAAATATTTTATGACTACAACAATGCCCTGCCAAGCTCCATTTCAGCATCAAATGTGCTTTGTAAGGAATCTTACAAAGCTGGGCGGGGGCGGGTCTGGGGGGAGACACTTTAATTTCTTATTCCCCAAATGCTTTTTATAAGAAGTTCCCACAAATGTGTTTTATTTACAGATGGATTCTTAGTCTTGAAAGTGTCTCTTCCAACATCTGTAGCAGCACAACAAACCTTGAAACTCGGATACCCAGGGGGTGCTTGCTGATAACAAATAAGACAGAGTCCCTTGACTTGGTTTTGGCTTGTTTGTGTCCTACGGGAGGTCTTCTAATGCTCCTGTTCTCTCCTCCTGCCCCCTGCCAACTCCTTGGAGGGCTGATGTCTGGCAGGAAGTTAGGGTTTATATTTTTCACGTGTGAGTGTGTTTAATTACTATGTAGAGGAAGTTTGATAAGCAGCCTTCCTTCCTGGCACTTGAGGTGCCCCCAGAAAGCTGTCACTCCCCTGATTGGTGACAGAATTGGGCGAGAGATCTTATTCTCGACCAGCCCCCACTCCTGTAGCCTGCAGGGCTGGGGGCCTGGGTTGAAATCCGAGTATGTCAAAAGTTTTGTGCCTAAACTTGAAAAATCTCCCCAGCTTTACCCACCTTCAGCACAGTGATACTCATCGCCCTACCCCCCAGACAAAGAAGCATTTTTCAGAAGTGTTTTCTGTGTTCAGATGTACCCTCTTCCTCATCCCCCCCATCCCTACCTCTGCTCCCAACACAAACCCTCATCCACATGTCTGAGCACCAGAATTGGGCTCCCAGATCCTAGTGAACTTGAAAAATACCTGACTCCACTCGGGTCATGCTTCCCACTGCTAGGGGAACCATTCTGAGTTGGAAAATTAACAACACCTTATTCCCTCTATCTTTTCTTTTTTAGCATGCATGCTTTTACACACACGCGGGTGCACAGACGCGCACAGTTATTCTCATATGACTGCAAGTGATTATTTTTAGGATCAAAATATATCTTAACAAGCTCTAGAATTATGCAGTAAACAGATGGCCCTTGGGGAGAACCCATTCTGCTTTGGAAGAATCCATATTTTTAGCAGGACAATTTGAGCATCCTTGGGGAAAAAAAAGTTCTGGACATTCTAACTCCTCAATGGGGGAGTCTAGTGCAGGGAGTGGGCTGGCCCTGGAATGTTGCAGAGAAGAGGTGGGAGGCAGAGGAGAGCCCTGCTCCTTCAGATACTCTGATCCCTGGTTTCACTTGTGGCTAACAGTGATGTTTTTGTCTTCCCTTCCCCGTGTCTTGGTAGGAAAGCCCAGTAGTTTCTTTCCAGAGGACAGTTTTATAGACTCTGGAGAAATCGACGTGGGAAGACGGGCTTCCCAGAAGATTCCTCCTGGCACTTTCTGGAGATCTCAGGTGTTCATTGACCATCCTGTGCATCTGAAATTCAATGTGTCTCTGGGAAAGGCGGCTCTGGTTGGCATTTATGGCAGAAAAGGCCTTCCTCCTTCACACACACAGGTAACCAGAATGCTATGTACCCTTCTCCTCTCCAGGGGCTCCCACCTCAAATCTTAACCAAAGTCAAGAAACCTGATGCTTAAACCTGGAATCTTCAGCTTGGAGGGAGTTTCACATATTTTATAGTCTATTCATCCATTTGCCCTCTCTCAGACCCTACCTTTCAGGTGAGTAGGGCTGTATCCTTGGAGCTTTTTAAGAGGAAGGAATTCTAGGGAATCTCTCAATAGCCTTTTTACTAGTACCCAGTCTCCTAAGTTAAATTATCCAGGAAATGCATTCTAGAGAACACAGCATGAACATTGGAGTCAAATGGACCTGGGTCTGAATCCTCTCATCATCAGCTGTGTAACCTCAAGCCTGTAACATCCTCTCAGAGCAAGTTTCCTAGTCTAGCAGATGCTGATATCAATGCCCACTGCGCAGGGCTGCTGTGAACAGTGGAGAACCACATCTAGAAGACAGCTAGTGCAGGACCTGGCTCAGAATAAAGGTTACTGTCCTCGTCTCTTGCATCCCTTCTCTCCTTCAGGGTTTCACATTTACCCGGACACATGTGCACCAGAAAAACTGTAAAACTCAAGCAGGATGACTGACACTTTGCCAGTCATGATGGGTGAAGAGCAGACTTGTGTGAGGTCCTCCCAGCCCTGGGCTTGGAGTAACATGAATCACAGGCATCCATCAGACATTCCCTGGCCAATTGTAGTCTCGGTGACACCCAGCGGGTACTTAATTTCTAAGTAAAAGCTAGATAGAGACATTTGCTAAGGACGGAGTTGCAGAATAATAGAGAGAGCCTGGACCCCTGATTTCTTTATTTACTGTTCCTGGGTTTCCTGTCCCTAGACATTGTCATATGAGACAGGATAAATACCCGTTTTTTTTTCTTAAAAGATAAATAGGTAGACAGTTGCTCAGTTTGCTTGCCAGTAGGACTTCACCACCTGCCTGTTGTTAGCACCGCGTGACGGTCTTCCCTTGAGTCTTTCATGCTAGCAGGCTTGGCTCAATTGGAAATTGTATTATTTGACACAGCATGTAATTATTGATGGAGTTTTGTGCTAATCCAGTTTACTTCCCCTAAAACTGCTCCCTGAAACTGGAGCATTGAGAAAGAATCATTGACAAAGGGAAGATAGATATAAATCAAATTTTCCTTTGCACTTGACTGACATTTAAGGCACACCCAGTGCTCCAGGCCCAATCCTAGATCCCCAGGATTCCCTCCCGCCACCACCTGCGTGGAGTTGGAGAAGTTCAGTCATAAAGTGGCTGGGTATCTAATCATGTGCCCATCAGAAAAGCATAGCTAAAAAGATAATAATAATAATAGCATGGCTGTCCTGATTGATGTAGAGGTGTAGACTCAGCCAGAGGAAGACTCTCCATGCCCCAAATTACAGCAGACTGACACTTAAAAATAATCTACTAATTGTGCTGCACTCACCAGCGAATCAGGAGACTCCCACCTTGCAAAATGGAGTCTGGGAAGGACTTAGAGTTGGTCGGTCAACCTCTGCATGGCTTTGGCCTCTTTTGCCTGATTCAGCTTATGTTTCCCTGCGTCCTCCCTGGGAGAAGCCTGAAGAATTTAGCATGGCGGTGAAGGAGGTTCCCTGCTAATTATGCTCTCTCTGTGCTTCAGTTTGACTTTGTGGAGCTGCTGGATGGAAGGAGGCTCCTGACCCAGGAGGCACGGAGCCTGGAGGGACCCCAGCGCCAGTCTCGGGGAGCCATCCCCCCTTCTAGCCACGAGACCGGCTTCATCCAGTATTTGGATTCGGGAATCTGGCACCTGGCTTTCTATAATGATGGGAAGGAGTCTGAAGTGGTTTCCTTTCTCACTACTGCCATCGGTAAGGAATCTCCGCCGCTCTGGGGTATGTGGGGTATTGTCTGTCTGGGTGAGAGGACGCCAGGGTCTTAGGGGTTGAAGCTGACAGCGGGATGTGTACTGTCCAGGGCTGCAGAGTCCAGCTGGATCCAACATGAGGCCATCTTAACTGGGCTTGCTGGACAAAGGGTAGGAGTGAGATGCGGGGAAATGAAGGGAGGGAGTGACAGGAGAAGCTGTAAGGCCATGCGGGTGCCCAGCCCTGCTGCCCACCACCTTTGTCTCTGGTCTGTGGCCTGGTGTGTGGACCAGCCGCTTCATTTAAACACCGAAGGGTGAAACTGACAAGGAGACAGGAATTCTTGTCACTTCCCTCCAACACCTATATCCGTCCTTATAATCTCTCTTGGTTCAAATCACTGATGTATTATTTGGATTTTTTTTTTTATGTGTGATTTTGCTTGCTTGATTATTTTGCTTTTAGAGCCAATAACCCCTGGCAGATGAGGAAAAAAAAAAAAAAAGTAGATAAAGGCTTGGAGAGAGGGTGGGAATAGCCATGCAAAGGGCTGGATAAACAGTGTAATCAGTCAGATGGGGGTTTTGTTGAGAACTGAGATACTGAGATGCCCTGAACTCTGGCGGACAGTGAGCCCCCATGATTTAAGTGAGCTCTCAGCCCCGTCATGTCCCTTGAGATGGAAGAGCTCTTGTTCAGAGCAAGCCCCTTGGCTACCCCAAAAGCCTGGGGGTGTCCCAGGAGCCTGGCATCCTATTTTAAGGCATTTCTCTTCTGTACCCACATGATGCAAAGAATTTGTCTCCTCCTCAAACCACCATGATGTGATGTAGGATACACTGGTCTCTGGTTCAGGTCCGAAAACATTTTATCTGAGTTCATATAGAAGCGCACTGACACAGCCTAGAGATAAAAATCCCCTACAGGAAAATAAAACTCCCAGAAGACAAAACTCCGCTAACCAGAACACTTGGTGTTGAATTTTCTGCTGAAGGAAAGCCTCTGTGTGGTTTTGAGTTCTCCTGAAAGCTCTGTCTCAGTCCTTGGCTGAGAGTCTATCTGATATGGGAAATGGGATTTGAATAAAAACCTCCGAATCTGGTCCTTAGTCCCTAGAACTCTTGAAAGACCCTGGTTCTTCCATCGAAACAGCAGTAGCGTTTTCAGGCCATTTTCCTCTTATTTGCAGTTTTGCCCTTAGCATCAAGGCAGTGAGTACCTTCCCATTAAATACAGTGAACAATGTATAAGATTCCACTGTGACTGCAGGCTCAACATTCTTGGCAAAAGGAGGGAAGTGGGGCTGTGCTGCGTGAGCCCTGGGGTAGGAAATATGACTGTGTCCTAGCTGCTGGTCTCTGAGTACCTGGAGGGCGGGGACTTGGACGTAATCTCCTTCCCGCAGCCCTCAGCCCAGCCGACTCGGCATCGCTCAGCGCACGAGGGAGTGGGGGTGGGCTTCCCTCAGGCCCCCATTGGCAGCTGCTGTGTTGTCGGTTTCCCCCGTTAATGCCTTCTTTTGAGGTGGAGTGGAAACTGTGCTCACTTCTGAATCCCCACCACTAATCTGTGTTTCGGCCCTGCACAGATTCCAGCTCCTGGTTCCCCGAGGTTCTGGAATTTGGAGGCTCCAGCCTGGTGGTTAGTGATGACCCTGAGCCTCTCAGAGCTCCATTTCCCGTCATGGGAGAGTCGGTCAGGGTCCTCACCGTCAATTAGGCTGACACTCGGCAGGGTCTGCCCGGCTCCAGACCCTGTTTCTTTTCTCTTTCTGGACTCGGTAGCTTCAGATCAGAGACATGATTTTCAAGTCATTAGTGGTCCCTGAGTTATGGCTTCATGGTCTCATAGCCTGATTCCTCTTAGGCACAGCATCATGCTTGCTCAGAACCAAGGTCTCCTACAATCAGGATTCTGTATTTTTAATAACTGAGCACAAATATGAAAGGATATTAATACAAACCCCCAAAGAAAACTACTTTTAATTAGGATGTGCCTCTCAGAGAAATAAAACGTCGTACAGTTAGGCACCTTTGCCAACTCTTGGCTTGTCAGAGCTTGCTGACCTCTTTTGCCATAATTAAAGAGACGGTCCTGCTTTTCCCTCTGGTTCTCCCGTTCTCACCTAAATGATGAAATCTATCTTCACCTTCCTTAACCCTGTGATGCCTTTCAGAGCAGATAGGTGGTACCATGCTTCTCAGAGTTTTGTGGAACCACCTGGCGTCTTGTTAAAATGCAGATTCTGCTTCAGTCAGTCTGGGTGGATGTTTAGAGTCTGCCTTTTTTTTTTTTAATTGAAGTATAATTGCCTTACAATGTTGTGTTAGTTTCTACTGTACAACAAAGCGGATCAGCTGCGTGTACACATATACCGCCCCCCACCCCAGCCCCACCCCAGCCGTCTGGGTCACCACAGAGCCCCGAGCGGAGCGCCCCGTGTCAGTCAGCAGGACCCCGCCAGCTGGCTATCCTCCACGTGGCGGTGTGTACGCGTCCATGCTGCCCTCCCCACACTGCGTCTGCTTGTCCTTTCTCTATGTCTGCGTCTCTGTTTCTGCTCTGGAAGTAGGTTCGTGCGTGCCAAGTTGCGTCAGTCGTGTCTGACTCTTTGCGACCGTGTGGATCGCCGCCCAGCAGGCTCCTCTGTCCGTAGGGATTCTTCAGGCAAGAATGCTGGAGTGGGCTGCCCTGCCCTCCTCTAGGGAATCTCCCTGACGCAAGGATGAAACCCACATCTCTTACGTCTCCTGCATTGGCAGGTGGATTCTTTATCACTAGCGCCACCTGGGAAGTTCCGGCAATAGGTTCATCTGCACATTTTTCTAGATTCCACCTATATGTGTTAATATATACTTGCTTTTATCTTTCTACCTAACCTCACTCTGTATGAGTGAGTCTGGGTCCATTCACATCTCTACAAATGACCCACCTTTGTTCTTTCTGTGGCTGAGTAATATTCCATTGTGTATGTATAGCACATCTCTATCCATTCCTCTGCTGACGGACATTTATGTTGCTTCCATTGTCCTGCCTGTTGTAAATAGTGCTGCAATAAACATTTGGGGTACAGCGCCCAGTGAGACACTGCTCATCTGTGGCCCACATTTTGAGTAACAAGGGGTTACAGTGTCTCATGGAGGGGGTTCTCAAATATTGTTGTGCAAAGCAATCACCTGGGAAGCTAGTCTAAAATTCAGATTCCTGGGCCTTCCCCTAGTAGGTCTGAGGCAGAGCCCAAGTGATCCAGATCCTGGTGGGCAGTCTGTCAACTTAGCTATGAAAACAAATACCTCCTGAGCTCTGCTTTCTATTCCTTCCTTCTCCCACTGATCCATGTTAGCTCTGCGACCGTAGTGTGTCCTGTCACTTCTCTGAGCCTCATCTTCCTTAGCTATAAAGGGAAATAGTAATATGGCTTGGTGGTCCCCACTGTGACGATTAGAGAGAGTGAACATAAAATGCCCAGTCCAGGCTTCCATGCATGGAAGTGGTTAACATTCTCTCCCCCGCCCCTTTCCCAGTCCACCTTTCTCTCACTGCCTTTCTGACTTGTCTGTCTTCCTTCAAGCTACAGTGATTGTTTAATGAATACCTTTTCTTACTTTAATACCAAAACAGACTGACTCCGATGTTGCTATTAATCCCTCTCTCCCTGAGAGTCCCTGGCATTGAGTCTCTGCTGTCTGTGGTCGTTACCTGTGGGCCATGAGTTGTAATTTGTCTTGGCAGCTTAATTAAAAGTTTAGGTCTTGTTTTAGTGAAGTCATTATGGTCTGAGTATACAGTTGTAACTCTCAGGTTTGCTTAACATACAGTCTGGAATACGACCCTCCCTTCATTACATGCTGAAATGCAGAGCTAGAATTTAAGAAGATTTGAGATGTCAGAATCCAGAGTATTTATATCTGTTTGTAATTAAGTAGCGGGAGAAATAATTGTGTTTAATTTAACAAATGGCTGTATTGTGTACATTTTTGCTTTTCCCTCATTTAATGCAATCCAGCTGATGATTTTAAATTGGTTTATCTTTCGCCTTGAAAAAAATCTAAAAGCACTTTACAAATTGTATATACAAATGTATACACATGGAGACACGCTGTTGACAGAGTGCCCTCTGAACTGGATGTGTTTCTGTCTCTCACACACACATGCACACAAACCAGTATAACCAAGCAAGTTTTATAATAAGATGTGGCAGCTGTTTTCAGAAAGACTGGCCTTTCCCTACATGCAGAGATGGATAATTTGAAGGTAATGTTTCTGCTTCTGTCTGGGGGTAGGTAACCTTGCTGACCCCAAGTATTGAATGAAGTAGGAGGATTATTTGTTGTTGTTTAGTCGATAAGTCATGTCCAACTGTTTGCGAACCCATGGACTATAGCCTGCCAGGCTCCTCTGTTCATGGGATTTCCCAGACAAGAATACTGGAGTAGGTTGTCACTTTCTTCTCCAGGGGATCTTCCTGACCTGGGAATCGAACCCATGTCTGTTGTACCTTCAGCATTGGCAGGCAGATTTTTTACCACTGAGCCACCTGGTAAGCCCAGGGAGATTATACCAGTAGCTATAATTCACCGTCACCATTTACACAGGACTTGAAATACTGTCTTGAAGCCCTGCAGTAACTCCATAAGGTGATTATTTTTATTTTCACCCCCTATTGTAGATGAGGAAGTTGAGAGTCAGGCATGTTAAGAGGAAAGCTAGGACTTAAATTTGTATCTGTCTCACTCCAAAGCTCATGATCTTCCTTCTTTAGCCATCTGCCTCTTTTCCAGGATCAAGCCCCCTTTTTTGGATATCAGGCTTCTTTTCTATCTGTTCATTGAGCAGGCATTTAGAGAATGCCTCCTGTGTTTGGGGTACCATGCTCAGCCTTTTTCGGTATGTGAGAAAGAGCCTCATGAGAATTTCAGACAATTTGCATTTTGATCTCATCTTTACAGATGAAGAAATTGAGCCTCGGAGAATTTAATTGACTTGCCCAAAGTTATTAAGGG